GCATTTCTAACTTCGATTTATTTGCATTACACAACGATGATCAATATTCGTATCTTTGCTTAACTATTCACTTGTGATTTATTTTTGAGATTTGATTTTTGAATATTTCTTTCTTTACACATTTGAAATCATTAATCAATCAATTATTGTTAAACCACCACTAGAAACCTGGAAGCACTTGACGGGCGTTTCGTCCTGGTATGGGATTCATCAGCAGTGCGCATCCACGACTCCTGCACGTCGCAGTATTAGAACCCGGGACCTTTGGCATTGTAGGCGAACGCCTTACCATCGGACCACTGGGCCGGTGGCATCCAACGGTGTTAATGTCTAACTCTGATTGATCTAGGTATTTAGCGCGACCTCACCCATTTTTTGTCTTTGGTAGTTACTGCCTACACCCAACAGGGTTGAACTCCATTGGTCACGTCTTCTCAACTAGAACTCCGAGAAATTCTTTAGGAAGCTAGTCACTAGTGAGCACTGTTACGATATTTTGGGGCCAAAACTGTGCCCTAAAATATTTCTTTCATCAGAAAATTGTAAAAAAAAATGAACTATTGTTTAATTGTCATTATCTACACTCTCATTGATCAATCAATATATTTGGTTCGCATTTCTATTTCTATTTCAAGTTAAGGTCATGAATTTTTTTTTTCACTGAAAATGCAATTGGTTTTTTTACAAGATCGATAGTTCCGTTTGAATTTGCAAAAAATGTATAATTTTATAAACAGAGATAAAACTTTCATATATGATGGAAATTATTTAATTACTATTTTTAAGCAAATAGTGAGAATATATTTTTGTTTTGCACACCAATTATTTGTACAAAAGATGTTTGTTAGTCATTGAAGAAACAATTCTGTTGTATACAAAATTACGTGATTGACTCTTTATAGTATTCAAAACTAAAATGTGATCTTCATTAAGTTGCTGATATTGTTGAATTTCAATGAAATCATGTATCGATCATTGATAGGCCAGCATTAGAAACATGGAAACAGTGGATGGGGTCGTAGTATAGGATTCATCAGCAGTGATGAGTCCGATGAAATTTAAGAATCTCTACAAGTCTATAATGAAAATCATAAAACTCTTCTTACTAGTGACTAGCTTCATTCTCGAAGTTCTCTAAACAGAAGCTGTGACCAGTGGAGCTCAGCCCTGTCGGCTTGAGACAGTCATACCCAGAAAACAAAGAGTGGGATAGTACAATGAAGTGGATTGATTAAAGTTCGAGATCAAAACTGTTAAATACCGGTTCAGTGGTCTAGAGTTTAGGCGTTCACAAACGAGATCAAACGTCTTAGGTTTGATTCCCACGGTCGGAGTTCGCGTATACACACTGCTGATGGGTCTCAAACGAGGATGAAACGTCCGTTCGATGCTTTGAACTTTCCTAATTGTAGTCTAACAATGAGCGATTCATGATTTCAACACAAAAGTGGAAGTGTTGGGGATGTTAGATCCTCAAAACTCGATTGTCAAATGCCTTATTATGGATTGCACGTTTGCCAGCATGGGCTGATCAGTTGACCTTGAGGTTTCATTTCCCACCAGCAAAATCCTTAGCTGTGATTAGCTGCTGTGTATTTTAGTGTGCTATTTTTGTGACTGTCCCTAGGACGTTTCTATGATGTATAAATAAACGAGAGTTGTGTGTTTGATTGTATTGTGATTGCTGGATGTTTTGTAGAATATACTTTCTACGCTTACAAAGTCTTCTATCTTCGGGTTGGGATTCAAGGTAGCCTATCTGGACGCTGGTAATTGTCTCGTTCGTCACGAACCCTACAGAAAGACAAATGCGAAATCAGATTATGAATTAATTAGCATAGACATTGGTTGATTTAATTTTTTCATTGATCGTTTCCGGACTTATAACTTCATGACAATATAGAAACGATCTACACAAGATATAAATGCATCAACAGAGTACATCTCTATAAATTTGTTAAAAAAAACTTAACAACAGTATTTTCATGTTTGATTCATTGATAATCTCTATTATACATTGACAAGGGATACTACCCCTAACTCAGTAGGCCTCATATGGTCGAAAAATGAAAATTTCGGAAACGCAAAAAAATCATTGCCCGACATGAGACAAAGGGTAATAGAAGTGTTTGCATCAAGCTGGGCTGCCTCCTCTTCTACTATCCTACGCCATATTGTGTACACCATATGCTACACTGTTATATAGAACTGAAGGCCTCCTATGAGACTAGAGGTTCTCTGTGAATATTGTGGATGGCTTTGCTTTGCTTTGGTAAGCATTTTTAACAGTCCATATATAAAATTGGTTAGCAGGGTGACCGATTTCATTGATACTATCGGTTGTTTTGCAACATTCTCGAGGACCATTGTCATTGGGGTGCTGTATTACATATCACCATTGCTAATAATAATGAGTTTGACAGTCAAGTAAGCGGGATGAATTGAATTGGCCTGTTTATGCGGTGCATAATGATTGACGCGATCATTGATCGGAAATATATATACCAGTGTGTATATATAAATGGTGTGAATCATCCAGCAGGGTATCAAGTACCTGTTTGGTGGTTGCACCACAGGATTGAGCCGAACTGTTCATGCAGTAATGGTAAAACGTGTCCAGTCTCTTTGGTTCTCCTGAAAACCAATGTAAAATTGCTCCCTTGACAATACAGGGTAAATTTATATAATATAAATTGTGATAAATTACACATTGACTAATTATGATTCATCCTTTTCTTGTAAATAATAAATTTAAAGTATTTAGTTTATGATGATTCATCTAACAAGATCTCAGTTTAATTTACATGTAATGATCATCTTCCTATTCGAATACATATATTAACTAGTTCACATCATAGTGAATAATAACAATATCGATTAATACTTTAAGCTATGTGACCGATCAAAAGTGTGTGTGTGTGTGAATCCCTTCTATTTGTTGAGTATACAAAAGTGTAGTTCTGAAAAAAAACTAAAATGTGGAGGTGGTGTTTGGTTCTCTGAGCTGGATATTTTGGTTGTGGAGCTTTCATCATTGTTCTTCTACTGAACAACATCATCAGCACAAACTTCAGATAGAAGTGAAGTGAAGTATTCGAATTTCTCCACGTTTGACCTGTAGCTTGTTCTTCTATCAATCAAGATCGAGGTTAGGAGAACAAGTTACAGGTCAAACGTGGAGAAATTCAAATGCTTCACTTCGCCTATCTGAAGTTTGTGCTGCTGATGATGTTGTTCAGAAGAAGAACAATGAAAGCTCCACAACCAAAACATCCAGCTGAGAGAACCAAACACCACCACCACCACAATCATCCACCTGAACTACAAATCTTCTCGACCATCTCCAAAATCTAAAAAGTATGTACAACATACACTAATTAATCCCACTGCTTTTATTTCTACCTCTCTCTCTCTCACACTTGTATTCTCAACTTATTTGATATGAATACAAATACTCTGTTGCTATGGGATTTAAATTCTATAGTATTATTATCATTATTATTGTGATTAAGTTGTACTATGATGATGTACTTTCTTTCGTTTAGAATGATATTATTAAGAAATAAAGAATTATTAAAAAATTGGGTGATTTGTTCAACTGTATAATAGAGTTCTATTAATGCGTCATTAGTAGGTAGTAGTTATAGCAACTCATATAGATTTGAGTATTTTGTATGCAATAATTGATTTGGTTTAAGCCTTTTGTTTTTAGATGAACTGATTAAACAGACCAGTTATTTGTACCATTGTGCTTTCATTTTTGTATTGCGTTTATTGTGCAAGCAGGCATGGATTGGGCATGATGGATTACATCATATTCATTCTCTTAAGTAAACTGATGACCTATTCATTTTCCTATGTATATATATGTATATTCTGAACCTATTCACTGGCCCACTCACTTTCTTCGCTCTTCGGCACTTGCATATCATTTTCGTTTTGTGTGCGATGCATTAATAAACCTAATCAACTCTTTGTATTCATCTACTGATTTGTACACCATTGGGCGTTAACTAGTAACACTTATCAAGCCAAACAGTAGTATATGAAGTTCAGTAATAATATAGAATACTGAACACCATAGAACTGGTGAGCCCACAACTATCATATATTGGTCATAAAAGAAGTCACTTCATTTATTTATCACCATTCTGTTTTAAATGGGGCTGGTAATATTCAATCAGTAGTGAATACAGTCATCTTGATTATCAAGCCCAATTATAACTACGTCAACACTTTGGTCATTTAGAAAATAAATTTATTTTAAGAAAATGGGATAGATATTTAATAGTTCGAACTCTTATCCATTAGAGTAAAAAGAGTTTATACGCTAGCAAGTTGGTAGATATGTTTGGAAATATAAGGCTAAGAGAACAGTGAATTAATTAACTAATTTACCAAGATCAAATAAATGATGTTGACTTATTTGAATTTTCAATACAAATGTCAAGACAGTTCTACTGTATGGAGCGGAAACTTGGCGAACTACCAAAGCCATCATCCAGAAGATACAAGTGTTTATTAACAATTGTCTACGCAAAATACATCGGATTCGTTGGCCAGACACCATCAGCAACAACCTACTAGGTGGGAAAGAAAAAACCAGATTCTAGTGGAGGAGGAAATCAGGAAGAAGCGGTCGAAGTGGATAGGACACACACTACGAAAAGCACTTAACTGCATCACGAGACAAGCCCTCACATGGAACCCTCAAGGCAAAAGGAAAAGAGGAAGGCCAAGGAACACATTACGTTGAGAAATAGAGAAAGATATGAGAGGAATGAACAAATATTGGACCGAACTGGAAAGGGAAGAAGAGGACAGAGTTGGTTGGAGAAAACTGGTCGGCGGCCTATGCTCCATTGGGGGTAGCAGGCGTAAGTAAATAAGTAAGTATTTGAATACAAAATCATTGGTACAAAGGGACACATTAATTAATAGATTTCTAAGTGGATTCGGATACTGCCCGCATGACTATACCAAAGCAGGTAGTTTTCTTGGCGCCCAACCCTTAGAGCCTTTGATTGAGATGTCTAATTCATAAGCAGTGAATTAACGTCAGAGGATGCATTCTCATGGTTACCGGAAACCAATAGTAGGTTCATTACATTATTCGTTCCGCCAGGATTCTGGAGTCCATGTGAAGTATTGTTTTGGGAATCAGTTTTCCAAACTCCCCTCGATGAATCCTATGGACCGACTAACTTGGTTTAATCTCTGATCGGATAGTCGCTTTTTGTTCTTCTAATTTTATGTAAACAACACTCTCACTATAGAAGATATTTATTAGGACTTCCTAGGCAGTAGCTAAACAAACATGGCTACCTGCGTTTCAACTGGGAGTTTACAGTATCGGCCATATCAGTAGGATATTTGGAGACAGATTAATGTAAAAAAACATTAAAATGCTTTCATTTTTACTAATAAAAAAGCCATTGTAGGTAGATCGATATTCAGACCTGATTACGGGGACTAGGAAATCATACACATTGCATCACTATAACACTGCACCAATCAAAAACCAGTCTTCAATTAGTCTTATGCATCATCTATCTCAATAGACACATTACATCAGTACAGTGAGAAATGCCAAAGAATGTCAGTCAGTCACTTGCAACGTAAAACTTCGTACGTATGTACATAAGATCATGTTGCCATACCACATTAGCACAGAGACGCAAATGTCAAATCAAGTCCCATAGTGACAAAGATAGTAGAGGTATTAATGTTAATGAACAAGACTAGGGTTCGAAGGTATAATTCAGTGAGATAAGGTTAGAAAGACAAAGGTAGAGGTGCTGACGAATCCAGAAGATTAGGATTTGAGAGAACACAACGAATGGATGCACTTGCGGCATTGCAAACGATTTTTAGCCATGTCATTCAAGGTCTCTAACCATTGGTGACTTTCGTCTCACGGACCCCAACCAGGCGGTAGCCTACATCTACCAACATCAGTCAGTCCACTAGTCAGTGACTTCATGATGATGGTACAATGTAAGTAGTAAAGTGTAAGAGCACAAGTAAATGAACTCGGCTAAATCAATCAATGAATCAAAAAATACATCTGCAATCAATTGCCAATTCACTTTATAATCGCCAGAGCTTCATAATCGATTAGTCTGAACCTCTAACTACATGATTACGTCAGAAAAACAAACAAACAATCAATATATATATATAATACAGTACTCTTTGTTCATTCTCTATAAAATGGCAGATTTTTTTTTCCAAGAAGGGATATATATATATATATATATATATGCATAAGTATATGTTTATATGGTGAACATATGTTGAAATAAACTCTGCTGAGTAAGTGAAAAAACCGAAAGAAAAAACGAAACGAAACCAATACTTAAACAAAGAACTGAAGAAATAATAATAATCATAGAGAAAAGAAAAGAGAAAGAAGAATAAAGTAAAAAAAAGATAAAAATCAACTATATCAATGTCTACTATTCAGTCGAGAAAGGAAACACTTAAAAAGACACTAAAAGAAATTGTCGATGATCTCTAACACAATCATAGAGAATGAAGACAACACAGAAAAAACCGCATAGACAGACAAATTATAATCATCATCTCAATGTGTTATCGAATGGATGACATAATGCATACTAGTAACAGTATAGTTGTAATCATCAGTTTGTGCATTAGATTGATTTATGAGAAAATAGAATCAAAGACAATAAGGAATAAACAATTATTTACATATGACAACAGAATGAGATAGAAGTAGATGAACACAAAATGAAATAAATCTCAGAGGAAATCGACTGGATGCAGTTTATTACATCATAGAGATAAATTATGAAATAGAAATCTGAATGTTATGTATATATATATATATATATATATATATATAGGATTAAAATTATTTATATATCTATATACAATGAAAGCACGTGAGTATTGTGTGCAAAAAGGAAAAATTAACCACAACTATACAAAGTCAAAATTATCTTTTCGCTGACAAATCAATCGGTAAATCAGAATTGTCTAGTTGGTTATTATTCACCAGCGTTGTTGTTGTCGCTGTTGTTAAGGCTGATGGTACTAGTGACTTTGTATCCAAGCCAGATGATAAATGTATATTATTCAAATTGAATAAATCATGATATCCAGTGGATGGTATACATGACAAAGATGAATTGAACATATTACTATTATCACCTAATGAAAATCCATCAATATAATCGGTTAATTGTGTAAATATACTAAAATTTGTAGAATTATTAGTACTCTGATTACAATTATTACTATTAGTAACACAAGAATTATATGGTATTCCACAAGAATTTAATAAAAATCCATGTTCATTTGGTAAGAATAACATAGATGATGGATTATTATTATTATTAATAGGTAAGGTAAAATTCATCATATCCATAGGATAAATTGTATTTGGGAAATTATTCTCATTACTGTTACTATTATTATTATTATTATTATTGGATGTTAACCATTCTGAAGTATTCATGTTACTATTATGAATAGTAGTAGTATTCGTTGGGGTATTATTAGTACCAGTAGTCGACGTCGGTGTCGGCGTCGCCGTTACTATACCCTTACTACTACTACTATTATTATTATTATTATTATTACTGACATTTGAATTACTACTAATAGATGAATTCATATGAAATGGTGAATAATTGACATTTGATAAAATTGAATTTGTCGGTAATCCATTTAAAGCATTAAATGCTATAGCAGCCATTGCTGTTGGATTATTGGCACAACAACACATCATTTGCATTTGTAATTGTTGTAAACAAACAGCTGCAGTTAATGTAGAATGATTATTGGAATTTGATTTATGTGAACATGATGATGATGATGATATATTATTAGGATTATTACTGTATAGTTGATTATCAATAACAGATGTACTTTGACCTTGTTGATCTAATGATGTAACATTAGTCGAGTGAATATTTGAAGAAGATAATGTAGGTAAATAATTGAAAAATGGTGATAATGTTTTCATCATAAAATCTGATTGAATTGTTGTCGATGTTGTTGACAATAATGAAGATGATGATGATGATGGCGATGGTGAGGATGTGATTGGTGTTCTTGTTGTTGAACAGACTGATGTAACAGATGATGATGATGATGACGGTGATGACGATGAAGTAATAGACTTTTTCATTTCTTGATTTCTTTGTAAACAATGATTTTGTTTCATAGTGGATTTAAATCGTATACAAGTATTGTTAGTATTTTTCGAATCGATACGTGGAGATGATGATGAGAGTGATGATGGTGATGTAATATCCAGACGACAAGTATTATTAATTGTGTATGTAGGTGATTCACCAGGAAAAGTATAAATATTATCAGGATCATTGTTGATTTTGACACGATTCGTATTCATTTGTGATGCATTTATCATACCGATAGGTTTTGATGTAGTAGTTGTGGTAGTAACACAATTTAAATGATCCCAGTTATTTGTTGTTGTTGTTGATGATGATGTATACTTTGATTTCACAGAGGATGATGATGCTTTACGTGAAGATGAAGAAGACGAAGAAGAAGAAGAATATTCCACAGAATTTACATAACTAGTATTACTGATAGTTGTTATTGGTGACAAGAGATTCATTCCAGTATTAGTTGAATATTTAATACTAGTAGTAGTAGTAGTACCACGATTACGTACTTGACCGAATATAGTTGCCATTGGTCGATTTCGTGTATTTGTAGTTGTAGTAATAGGTTTTGAATTTAAACTTTTACGAGTTGAATTACTATGATTATAAGTAGTGATAGTAGTAGTAGTAGCAGTAGTAGGAGTAGTAGTGAATGTTGTCAATGATTTACTAGTTGATGTACATATAGTTATACTATTAATACCATTAGTGATTGGAGGAATAGAATTATTGATTTTAGTATTAGTATGATTAGTAGTATGCATAATATTATTTGTTTCATGTAATTGTGAAGACAATTTAGAATCACATAGCGTTTCATTAGAATTTGATTTTTTACATGAATTTATCAATGATAATTCAGGTATATAAGGTGGACTATGTTCAATAGGTGTAGATGATCGTCTAGGAGGTAATAAAAGTCCTGGTGAACTTGGTGAATTCAATGAGCTTCTCATTATAGCCTCTGTAGCAGCTAACATAAAAGAAGAGGAGGAGGAGGAGGAGGAAGATGACATAGATTTTGAATGATTAGCCGATACAACAACATCAGCTGTTGTCGATGATGATGATGATGATGGGGTTGATAAGGAAGGAGCTGATGTATGATTTACAATAACTGATGAAGGTGATGGAATGATTGTTAACTCATTCTCTGATTTAATCACTGTTTCATTTGGTGTAGAACATCTTGCTATCATATTTTCATTATCAATTTTATGTTCATCTTCAATTGATAATACAGAGGACAGAGTTGTAGATGATGTTTCAGTTTCTTCATAAATTGTACTCAAGTGCGGTTTATTCACATCAGTCGAAGAGGATGGTGATGTTGATGAGGAGGAGGATGATGACGATGAGGTAATGACAGTTGAACATATAGTATCCAACGATGACGATGTAGAAGCGGGAATCGGTGATATGGAATGTGAATAACAATCAGATATATTTACATCTGATTGATTTCTAGTAGAATTTATACATTTCATCTGTTGATCAGGATCAACATTCTCATCGGCATATTGACTGAGTGAGTTTTTTTTTACAGACTTACGATTCATAACATCATTACAATGGCTATCTGCAGTTCCTTGTTCAATATCACACAAGTTAACATTATCTACATTTTTTGTAGTAAGATGATTACTAGTAGTACTACTATTACTAGTACTATCAATCATGAGTAAATTATCATCGATGGATGTATCGATTTTTTTGATTACAGAAGAAAGATTTTGTTCTTTTAAATTTAAACAAAGCGGTTTAATCGATCGTGTAGTAGTTGTCGTTGTTGTTGTAGTTGTTACAGATGCACTAGTCATTTTTAATCCAGTACTACTTGTAGTCATTGTAGTAGTTGTAGTAGGTATTGTAGTATAATAGTCATTTGATCTGGAAACATATTGATTTTTATAATAATCATATTGAACAAGTTGACTAGTTGGTATACCGAAAAAATTCCCTGGACCACTACATTCTTTAATGCTTATAGTTAAACCATCAACTGTTATATCAGTAATACACATTTCTGGTACAAGATGTATTTGTTTACGATAATTTATATTTGATTGATTTGTTGTATTATTATATAAGAGCATATGATTTTGTTCAATAATTATATCATTTGTATGTTTAGTGGAAAGTGTTGTCGGTCTACATGAAGTCGAGGAAGTTGATGATGACGATGATGATGATGAAATTCGATGTGTCGGATGATGATGATAATCGATCGATGATGCATGATGATGATGATGATTGTCAGTATATGAACATAAACTCTCTGGACCAGAAGATAATTGTGCTGTCGTCAATGATCTTGGTAATTGTATACGTAATGGAGCTAAACGTGGAAAATCTTCATTAGGTGATGTATTATTTGAAATAGTCGGTGAAAAACTCTCAGTAGATAATGATGATGTTAACGAGGTGGAAGAACCAGAACGTCGACGTATTTTACTCATATTCATATTGTAATCTTCAAAAGATGAAGAATAACCACTTTTTTGATGACGATGATGATGTTGATGTGGATGTTGATGAAAATAATGATAATCTGTAGTTTGATCACGACGTCGTTTACGTTTATCTTTCTTTTGTGAATGTTTACGTTTTTTCGTACATTCATATTCATCATCATCATGTCCTGGAGAAGAGGATAGACAACTTTCAGAACTCATTTGTCGATGACGTTTTTTTGAAGAAATAATCACATCAAATGGTGTAGTAGCAGATGAAATAAGTAGTTTTGGTAATTGCATAATATTTGATGTACTACAAGGTATTTGTTTAGTCCATTTAGGTGATTTACAAGTATTTAATGTATTCATTGTATCTGTATAATAAGATTGTGGAGAATTGTCTATCTGAATATCTGGAAGACGCATACCAGCTGTTGGATTTAATGTATGTGGTGATAAAGTTGTACTACTTCTACGTGGTAATTCAACAGGTGCTATAAAATGTGTTGCTGCAGATGTTGAAGTTGTTGTCGCAGTGATTGAATCATCCTGTTTTAGAGATGTATTTGATTCGAGAAAAGATGAATGATCTGAATCTTCAATAGAGCTATTACTAGTTAACTGAGATGAATTTTGACTATTACTGGATGAATTACTTGATACACCTACTGGTGGACAAGGTAATATACGATCACGTGGTATAGTTAAACGAATTTTTGGTCTTTCTTCATTCAAAGTTGTGAGTGAATTTGTAGTAGAACTAGTACTATTACCAACACTACCACTGCTACTACTAGTAGTAGTAGTAATTATATTTTTGGTTATATCGATTGAGGGCGGACTGATTACCTGATTAAAACAAAAATAATAAGAAACAAGACAATATCATTAGTGACAAGTTGTATTGAACTTACAGGATAATACTATTTAAATTTCCTATTAGCCTAAAGAATACTTTGGGGATCTAATAGGCCTTTTATCACAATGTGATGTAATATCATATTTGGTATGTGTATGCTTAACTATCACCTACTTCTACACGTGACAGTGGCTAATGTAACAATGACTAAGAAGTTTTGAAGAAATTGAATGTCTCACTGTGGGTTCATGGGATTATCGTGGACAGTGATTGGAGATACGATGGATGATATAGCTCGGAGCATATCTCAAAGCTGCACATGCATTCATATTGTTTTTCCATCACAAGTTTGAGTTTATGAATACTTCATATTTTTTTGTTACGAAATCGATCTTTCTTATCGAACCAATTGTCTATGTTCATCTTTGTCGATTACGTTTTTGTCAATGATTTTCTTATACTGGTATTTGTTTTGATAAGTTTACCAATCAGTCAGTCAGCTACAACGTAGAATTACGTACGTATGTACATCAGTTCAGGTTGTCATGCCACAATAGCACAGAAACGCAAATGTCCGTTTAAATCCCAGAGTAGTAGAGGTAGAGGAAGTTTAAGCAGTAACCTGATTGATTACGCTTCGAGGATATTATTCAAGAAGTAAAATCTAGTGTGATAAACTTGAAAAGAAAAAGGTAAAGTGATGAGGAAGTCCGAAGGTTAGGACTTGAGAAACACAAAGAATGAATGCACCTGCGACATTGCAAACGGTCATTCAGGGTCTCTAACCATCGGTGACTTTCGTCTCGCGGACCCTAACCAGGTAGCCTACATCTACCAATATGACTCAGTCCACTTGTTAGTGACTTCATGGATTTATGCCATGTTTTAGTCTGGTCGCCCTTCCAACCACCTCAACTGATGATGTTCCACTACTTCATCTATTGATCTGCCATCCTTACCTAGTACCGGATTCGTAACTACAACATTGTTTATATAAGTGACACTAATTGGCAAAAGCCAGTCAAGCCTTCTGTATCCATACTGAGATTTCGTCAGTCACCAGGCCATCAGCACTGATGAGACTCTCGCGATAAGTCAAGTGGTCAACACGCTCAACTGCTTCACTACCTGTCAATCGTTCAGGTGCCGATACAAGCTAATCTTGAAGCAAATTTATGCATTACGATGGGCAGAATCGCATCCTGAACATGCTTGCATTTTTGGTTAGGGTAGTTAGGAGACACTGCATTTTGTCAGCGTCTGCATCAAGTAAACCTATGTCATCGGCGTATTCTAAGCCAACAAGCGAATCTCCTGGTATATGTTCAACTCCTGAAAAGTCAGATGATGAAAGTGTCGTATCTAAGAGCACGTCAATGACAAATTTAAACAAGAATGGAGAAATTGGACAATCCTGACAGATATCATTTGAAGTAATCAATTCCGATAACTCGACTAGTAGTGTTCGAGTAGATAGCTTTTTAACTGAATATGTAGACCAGGTTCTATAATGTATATATAACTAACTGACTGCTCCTCATGATTATCATAAATGTACTTAAACGTAATGTAATGTAATATATAATGAGAAAAAAACTTACAGGTTGAGAGGATTCTGTATGAACAATATTAGTAGATTGTTGTGCTTGCTTTCCAGATGTTCTAGACTGAGCCAACGCCGCGGCTGCATTAGCTGCAGAAGCAGATGCAGCTGCAACAAGTAAAGTTGTTCGACGAAAACGACGATCAAAGCATAAATCATTATTATTATTATTATTATTTGATTCAATATTCACTGGTGGTGAACTAATCGAATTTACTGTTGTACTCATGATAGGTTCTATTGATAAATTTGATGATCGTATAGATATTGGTGTAGTTTTCAAAACAGTATCAGACTCATTATTATTACAAATACTTTTTGTAGCAGCAGTCGCAGTAGTAATGAACGTAGAAAGAATTGGATCAGTATAAGTTATGGAAGTTTTTGATACAACAATAGGAGAATTTTCAAAATCCATTGTATCACGTGAACATAATACTCTTTCTGGACTTGTCATAACTGATAAACAACTGTCTTTGGATTTACGTATATTGTCATGATGTTGATGATCATAATGTTGTTTATTATCTGGTGAATTTAAAGATGAAGATTGTTGACTTTCAGAACTAACACTTCGTTCGCGTGAATTTAATTCTTGTTGTGCTTTTTTACGTTTTTCACTGAAAATTCATGAATAAAAATGTAAAAAAAATCAATAAGTTAGTTATACTAACTAATGTTTGATTATGTAACCTAAACTAAACTATAAGACAGACAAGATTAATACATTTTGATGACAACTGATTGCTTCTGATCGAATTCAATCAAGGAAGTTGTAATTTGGGAATTAATACAAGTGACTTGATGTTTCTTATCTCAACGTAAGTTGTTGATTAAAGGTAACTTGATGACTAAAGTTTCTGGCTGATTCGTTATGGTGCTATTGTGCAGGTTGGTTGCTACATGAGATTTCAAACCCTGTCAGTCAACTTCATAGGTCGAGTATTTACTAACGATCTATCTCTTGTAGGATTAAGATATAAGCATTCATTGATCAGTAAGTACTAAACAATAAAATATTTATCTAATCTCTAGTACTGATCATATTCTATTGATTTAGTTGTGGTGATGCAATCACTAAATTGAATGATTCAACATCGTGTGAACTATGTGTGTAGTGGAGGAGGCAGATTCAGATTCAATAATAAAATCGAAATAAGTGTATTGAAGAAGTTTTCTAATCAAATGTTATATTATAATCGCAATAATGAGAATCAACAGGTTATATGATAAACACTTTCAAGTGAATTAATGATTTGCCATGGGATTCCCGACCGTGGCTGCTACCTTGACGTGGTCGTCAGGCTCGCCTATCGTGATGACCCAGACGAGCTATACTGGCTGGGACATATGTTCCTGCAGGTCCTACGATGCCAGGCAGGTCGATTGAAGAATGATCAGACTAAAAGCAGCTACTCAATGTCTGAGGGAGAAGTCGTACTGCTGACTGCAGAGGGGTGTGAAGGCAGTAAGGTGTTTCCCTCGGGCAACCAGCATCTGCAGCGATGCTGCCTTCTCACAGGGAAGGAAGTGCTAGAAAAGGTCGACCCTAACCATGTCATATCTCACCCTACTTCACGGATTCCCGTCTCCTTCAGTAAATTTGCCCACTAAGGACCTTTAAGAGCGGAGCTAATACTCAATAAACGCTTCATAAAAAGGCCGTGCGTGACCGGCCTCAAGCAGTTGTCCCTTGGACTCTGCGGTCACGCTCCCAGGTCTGCAAGACCAACACTAATCTATCTTCCTTTTCAGGTCCCTGAAGAAACAACCTTCCATGGTGTGGGGAGCCGGGAAGTGACAGCCACCCTCATACCCGTAACAGCACACGAGACCAAATTGATCAAAATCAAATATGTTTTGCTATGGGATTAGTTTTAAGTGGTGATTTGTTCACAAATTTAACATAACTTACCGTTTTTCATATGATTCAATTAATCGTTTATCTAAAATATTTTTTTCTGGTTCCCATGTATTATGCCTACAAAAAAATATAAATTTGATAAAGCGTTTAGACAAAATGACAAAAATGACAAAACATTTCATTCCATGAGTGACTGCATTGTCAGATGTACTAATCTGTGACAAAAAAGTTGACAGTTCGGCCTTGAAAATAGTATACTTTACATTACTCGATGGATTCATGTTACTGACGATAAGGTCCTTGAGGAATGGATTCAAAACATTCAGAAGTACTTACGTAAAGATCGTGTGTATAGATCTAAAAAGGGAAAGCTGGCATTTCGGTTGTCACTTCTTGCTGCACTACTAAATCCGATATAACATTATTTTCTGAGATAAAACCTGCTCTTCGAATGTATTTCTCTGGATAATCAGCTTACAGCAGTCTCATTGAACACAGAAGTGTTTGATTAGAAGTGAAGTGAGTCTAGTTGTGAAGAGCGGACTCGGGATAACCAGTCTGGTTTCAGACCTGATCGCTGCTGTTTAGACCACATATTCACAGGATGGCGGGTCCTAGGAGGCAGACACACATTTCGGTATCCGTCAATAGTCGTCTTCCTGGACCTTAAAGGTGCATTCGGCTTTGGCAGAGTCTGCCATTAAAAGGTGTACCAGAGAAGTACATTAACCTTATACAGGCGCTCTACTCGAACACTTTGTGTCGGATCAGAACTGACGGCCAACCGTCATCGGAATCGATTAACTCAGGTGATGTCCGTCAGAATTGTTCAGTTTCTCAATTCTTGTCTAACTTTGTCATTGACGTGCCCTTATAGACGAGACTTTTATCGTCTGACTTTTCAGGAGATTCGCTCGTCGACGTAGAATATGCCGAAGACACTGTTTTACTTGGTGGAGATGTTGATAAATTTAAGTCTTTGGACCGTCCTAATCAACAATGCAAGCATGTTCGGAATGCGGTTTTCCCCCTCGAAATACAAAATATTGCTTCAGTATTGGGTTGCACCGGCACCTGAACTAGTGACAAAAAGTAAAGCAGTTGAGCGTATTGACTGCTTCACTTATCTCGGGAGTCTCATCAGTGCTGATGGCCTGGCGTGTGATGAAATCTCAGTATAAATACAGAAGGCTTGGCTAGATTTTGCCAATTTGCATCAGTTATGGCGGGGTTTCTGTCCGCTAACCGAAGGATGAGTGTACTGAGCAGCAGTTTGTAAATCCTAGGATTATTGAGTATGCAATGCTGTTCTTAGGAATCCGGTACTAGGTAAGCATGACAGATCAATAGATGAAGTAGTGGAACTTCGTCAGAAGAGTAGGAGTAGATTGGAAGAAAGATAGTGGGGGCCAAACCAAAGCATGGCAGAAATCCATGAAGTCACTGACAAGTGGACTGAGTCATGTTGGCAAATGTACTCTAATTTTCTGGATTCCTCAACATATCTATCTTTCTCTTCTTGAATAATATCTTCAAACCCTAATCTTCTCTAATCCCTAATACTTCAGTTACATCGACCACTATGGGATTCGAACTGACAAAAGCCTCTCTGTACTATCGTGGTATGACAACTTGAACTGTTGTACTGTACGTACGAAGTTCTACGTTGTAGCTGACTGACTGGATTATAGGAAGAAATTCCTTCCAAATAGTCGGTATCTTCCGTCGTAAGTTAAAAATGTCGATCGCTAAACGGTCGTTCATATTTTCAAGGAAAAGATTGTAGAGAAAAAGATCGCTCCCAAAAAGGAGATCGTCTTATCAGGCCACATTCTTTTGAATTTCAATCATTGGGATATAATCGTAATCTAATATTCAATAGCATAGCTGTATATTCGATTCCATTGTTCAGAAATATTCAGTTATTACCGATTCAACACATTTCCCTTATCACTTTTTGGCCCAGCGTAGAAAATCTAACCGAGATGTGAACAAAGTTTTCGTGACTAAGGTTAATAAATCGGAAATCACTTCTCTGCTACATAATTCAGGAAAGGATATTACTTCTCGAAGGATATTGAAACAAAACTGGATTAGTAGTGGTTTTAACAACCTGATAGCTAAATGTGAGTCTCAGAAGACAAGTATTATAGACATATGACTCATAATCTTTAGGTGAGTAGTTTTGAATGTTGTGACTCCATTTTCCTCAACGACCTTATCGTCAGTAACAGGAATCTATGAAGTAATTTAAGGTTAGATAGTTTCGGGGACGAACTTTTCCAGCATTTATTTTTTTCACAGACCAGTGTATATGTGACAATGTGGCCACTCTTAGATCAAAATTTGCCGCTTTAAATTTTACAATATTCCAACCGACATTAACCTAATTTACCCATATTCCTCTAATCTTTTGGTGTCCTGACTTGCTATATCATGCTTTGAGTGATTGGCTGGCTGTAAGTAGGTAGCTTGTAAAAATAATCGGTTGTAACCTTTTGGCTGACATCGGACTGTATGGTTAGAATGTGACCAAATAATATAATACAGTACGAGATTTACGCTCTTGTCTCTAGCACACATTATGTACGATTAGCATTGTGTAAGGATCAACACAAACCACAACCTTAGAAAAATGCTATATAACCTGTGTTTCATTGTATCGATTAACCTAATGAAATTCATCCGGCATATATAAGTAGAAATTTAGTAGTACAACCACTATATCAAGTTGAGTTTTTACTTCTGTGCATGCTTAACAAAAGGACCCAGGAAAATTACAAATGACTTGGAAATAATCTCTAAGACCAAGCTTCTTTCAGCAAATCTATTCACCTATAGAGAAAACAACGCAGCTAATGGGTCACTTCTGATCAGATCAGGCCTATATGGGACACACCAGATGTGTTAAATTCAAGGCCGTGTGCATATATTGCTCTTAAACTAGGCCGTAAGGTCAAATAAGCGGGGGTAGAAATCAGGCAAGTATGAAGGTCGAATTATAGATTAATGCATATAGAATCAGCCAATCAAAAATAAGTATTGACCAATAAGCAATTAGAATGAATGTGGGCAGACAATCATATTTTCTTTTTGGTTTATTCTAATGTTAAGCAAGTTTTTAAAAGCTATTTGAAACACGATATCGAGATTTTTGGATTATCGTTAAAAATATGAACGATAACAGAAATTACTTAACAAAATTTATTTAGGTTAGTGAATACTTACTCGTCAGACCAATTTTTCCATTTCACTAGATATTCGACACGATTCTATAATGAAAATTTGAATAGATGGTCAATTCAAAAGCATTAAGTAAGCGTTTAGAATAATCTTGATAAAACAAAAATTGCATTAATAGTTAATGTGATGTTTGTTAGAATCAAAATACTTGGTATACCTATAGAATATTATTATATATATTGGCTTGGTAGCTTAGTACATGAAAAATGAATAGTATTTTGAACAGTACCGTGGTAAAACATATCATGACTAATTAACAAACCTCCATAGACCAACATAGATCAATTAAATTACGATTCCGATTTGATGAACAGCCAGTATAGGACACTGTTGTCTTACAATACTGATTTTTTTACTTTCAACATCTTAAGGGCAAAGTATTATAGATTTATAACCCTAATAACAAAATAAATTTTACTCTTAACATGTATCGTGCATAATCTAGTGCGTCATTGTGAAATTATGTAATCTAATCTTGTCAATGAAAATGTATCCAAAATAAACTACTTCAAATCAATTTTGAAAAGTCCGTATTGGATTGCTGAATACTGTTCAGACGATGTACTGGCATGCGTTACGCTACCTTGGAAAACCTGAGCAGCAAACGACCGTTACGTCATAAGATCAAGCGTTCGTGTGCATGCGTTCGATTCCCACTGCTGAATAGAGAGAGCTAAAACAGGACGGTGGTACTATCACTAAGATCGGTTCATAGTGTTTCAATAATCATAATATACTAGAATCATGAATGGACATGTTAGTTTTTTTCAAAAGTCTATATATAATGAATCATAAAAATCCCAATTAAAAATATCACTTAGAATATATTATCATTCGGTTACTGATAGTAAGAATTAAATACGGACGTTAGTATAAATATTAGCAATGTAAAAACATGCACCCTAATTGTATAATTTACTTTGAAAAAAACGAAAAATGTAATTTTACACACCCACCATATGAAGAAATTTTCACTAAGTCAATAATAATCTTAAGAAACACTTACCCCACGTAATCGTTTTCCTACAAGATGTTCAACTCGATATACACCAGAAGTTCGTGAACGAGATTTATGCATAATTATCCAGTGTTATAATCCAAATTAGAATATGTAGTCAAAGCATAAGATGTAAATAGAAAATTTTAAAATAATGTTTTAATAATCCAAGTAAATAGTCCAGTCAATGTAAACTCGTACGTCTCCTGTTCGTAAATGATGAAATGTTTCTTCTTATTAACTCACTATTTTTACATTTCTACCCCCTCACACCGATGTCACCGATGTGTTCTTTCCCCCTGTGTAACAATTTAAATTTAACCATTCACAAATCAATGCGTTAAATCCTTTTTTCTACGCGGGGTCAACTAAAAGCCAATAGAAAAAAATAATTAAGGGAACCTTGAAAATTTACCGCTGATTACTTTACAAATCCTATTAACCAATCAGATTGAAGCTTATAGTGGTGTGTGTGTTGTGAAACGGCTCAGTGTATATATTGGCTTTAAAACTAAAAACATAGTTACCAGGACAAAAGAATGGCTAGACAGGCCTAAAACATTTAATCCTCCAATAGCATTCATTCTCTTTTCATGTTGGTTGTCCTCAATAAATTTTCTAACAATGTGGTGGTGGGTCATGTAGTTATTTTTTTTTTATCTTGCAAAAACACATTCATCATTTTTGGTTGGCTATCCTTTTTACTGTTTCAGTCAACTTTTGTGTGTTTGTTTGTTATCTGGCTCTTATAGGAGTTACTCAGTGTTAAAAAAATTTTTCTGAACACCAGTATGATATATCTTGATGCTAGGATGTGTTTAGTAATAGTTCAGTTTACCCATACTATCTGACTCCAATTTCATTGTATATCGATATTAACAAAACATACGTACCACTGTTCCTCGTACAAAATTTATAACTGAATTGTCGTTCATTGCAAATTTAATTGAAGTCAGGTTTCGAACCATGAAACCTAAGTTTGACTACATCATTTCCTCTTACATAGTAAAAAATCATCACACTGACTGACTGAAGTGATCTAACTCATAGTTTGTTCCTCGAATTGAATATAACAGAATTCAATCCTAAAATCATTATGTTGTTTTAATGTAACACTGAAATCAGTACTTTTTGGTTTGGTAGCTGTTTGAATGAAATTTCGAACATTTGTAAACTAATTATTATAGTGTACAGTTTTTGGTAAAGGACAAACACTTATACTATTGCTTGTTATAGATTGATAGTTTGTTAAAAACATGTCATGTCAGGGATGGGACTGTTCAACAGTGCACAGGATATCGGGTAATTAGTCAAATATTCATCCATTTACTACGCAACTTGAAGGTTCTACAATCGACCTCAGTTAAGAGATCGTCAATGTTGAAGAGTCTTACACCAAGACGAAACCAGTTCTGTAATACTTTCTGGTTTTTAATGGTAATTAATTTAAAATCTTTCATTGATGTAAACTATCGATTGTTTGTCGTTTAACCCGGTAAAAAAAGGTAACATGTAGGCTTTATTTCGTTTTCATCTTTTAAATATCTAATAAATGTACTTCATTAACAAAAGTTTTCGATCAATCGAAAGTAAACAAATTCTTTTAAATTATAGTGAATTTAGGTAGAAATAAATTTTTTACTAGTAAACATTTTTTTCTAATTATAAATTACAAATTTTTCTGATCATTGTATACAATGAATTAGTTGAAAAAATAGTAATATAGATCATTAGTTAATTTATTACAGATTTGAAATCATCAATCAATCAATCAATCATTGTTAGACCACCATTAGAAACCTGTAAGCATTAGACAGCCGTTTCGTCCTGGTATGGGACTCATCAGTGGCAGTGCGCTTCCACGACTCTTGCAACTCGCAGGATTCGAATCCCAAGTCCTTTGATCTTGTCCACGAATGCCTAACCTCTGGACCACTACTGGATCGTAGATGCGCACTGCCACTGATGAGTCCTATACCAGGACGAAACAGCCATCCAGTACTTCCAGGTTTCCATTAGTGGTTTACTAAAAAGAAAAACTTTCATCAATCGAACCGTCAACTTCAATACTGATTGATTTATCTATCATTGAATAGTTATTATATAGTTTGTAACCGATGGTTTTATGATATTTAACTAGTTTTTTTTTATAGAATGTTAATAATGATTTTACAGTGTTATTATCAATCAGATTGTAAATTTGTACAGCTAAAAGTTTATGTAACTCAATAACATTGGTTTTGGATGTTTCGATGAATATTGATTTTTCTCTCCTCCTCCTCCTCCTGATCTCAAGATTGCAACTATTATCTTTTGTGTAATCACGGTCAGTATATATCAATCGATTTGTATGAAGTTTTATATTTTCCTATTGTTCATATTCAGGACTTCATTGAATGATATTGACATATATACATCCGTAGTAGATTACCTCCATATTATCATTGTAAGTAGTGAGATTTTATTAAATTTGATTATATAATGTCTAGAAATGGAATCGAGAATGTTCGTTTTTATCCAGTTGATAAGTTTTAACCAGTATAAAACACATGTATCCTAAATTCAATCATCAATAATGAATTTGTTTTACGATTGAATAGTAACAGATAGATTCGATTTAATGTTTATTTTACAAAATACATTCTTCTTTTAAATACTTGCTACTTTTAAATTAGAATTTTATTATTCTTATGATTATTGATCATTGATTTGAACAATTCAATGTTCAATAGATAATATTACTTAATATGTATAATTTAATAATGCATTACGGGATTTGTGAAGATTGTTAAGTTTTTTCTTTTAAAATCTTGAATCCATCAATGTTAGACCACTATTAGAAACCTGGAAGCACTGGATGGCCGTTTCGTTCTGGTATGGGACTCATCAGCAGTGAGCGTCCACGACTCTTGCACCCCACAGGATTCGAACCCAGCACCTTCGGTATTGTAGGCGAACGCCTAACCATCAGACCACCGAGCCGGTATCTAACGATGTTAATGTCTAACTTGATCAATTCACTGAGTTGCGCAACCTCATACACAGTTTTCGGTAGTTACTGTCTACACCCGAACAGGTTGAACTTCACTTTCCACTAGAACTCGGAGATCCCTCATGAAGCTAGTCACTAGTGAGCGCAGGTAATTTGCATTACAGGGTTTGTGAAGATTGTTAAGGTTTTCTTTTGAAACCAGTGAATTGATCAAGTTAGACATTAGATACCGGCTCAGTGATCCGATGATTAGGTGTTCGCCTGCAATACCGAAGGTCCTGGGTACGAATCCTGCGAGGTGCAGGAGTCGTGGATGCCCACTGCCACTGACAAATCCCAAACCAGGACGAAACGGCCGTCCAGTGCTTCTTCCAGGTTTCTAATGGTGTTCTAACATTGATCGATTCATGGTTTCAGAAAAAAAATTAAAAATGATTGATTTATGAAACAATTGAAATTGGAATCTATTATTATTATTATTATTATTATTATTATTATTATTTTAATTGTCATATAATTCTACTTGACTTGATTTAGAAAAGTTATTCATATATTGTTTTACTTTTATGAGAAAATTTAAATGATGCGCTTAAAGAGATCATTTTAAATATGATTATTGTCTTGATATTATAAGAAAAAATTCTTTTCTAGGAAGAAAATATATTTTTCACTAAAGATTGACATAATTAAACCAGAGCAATCATTGAAAAGTATGAATTATTGAAAACAATGACGCCTAATCCAGATCATGACTTCATACATTTGTAGTAGAACAGAAGATTGAATATTGAACTTTGAGATATAGCGGTTAATTTGATGGTTTTCTTTTTCTAATTTTATCATACTTATTGATGATTGAATGTTTTTTTTGGCGTGAGATTTAAATCATGGGAGAATTTAACAGATGTTCATTTAATTTGAACTGTAACCATGAATCGATCAATCGTTGTTAGATCAACATTAGAAACCTGGAAGCACTGGATGGCCGTTTCGTCCTAGTATGGGACTCGTCAGTGGCAGTGAGCATCCACGACTCCTGCACCCCGCAGGATTCGAACCCAGGACCTTCGGTATTGTGCGCGGACGCCCTAACCTGTGGACCATTGATCCGGGTTCTAACGGTGTTAATGTCTAACTTGATGAAATTCACGGAGTTGCCCAACCTCATACCCTGTATACATCCGAACAGGTTTGAACTTCACTGGTCACAACAACCTCGCAATGCATTTAATTTGAATTGTAATTCATATGTGCATTACTCGAATTCTCCATGTGAGTAACAAATAGTCATAGTGACGATAGTAATAATAATCATTTGTTTAATTGAAAGAGCTTAGTGAAGAATTTTTCTAACTTGTAAATTTGTTATCATGTTAGATGAATCTTAGTCAAGGTAACCTTGTGTGATCATTGTTCAATATCATAAATTTCAATGAACTTGAAATTAGATTTGCACTCAGTAAGTAGTCAAAATCATTGGACATGTGTATGATGATTTTTTCAATTCATGTTTCTTCGGCGTTAATGTCATCAAAACACACTTCTGATAAATCTCATTTAAAAGAATAAATCAAACGATTAATATTTCTTGGATTTTTTTAGTAGTGGTTGACTTATGTGAATTAGTCCAACGATATCATGATATCATATCATTTATTGATCATGGAAACTATAAATCAATCATTGTTGGACCAATATTCAATAATCTAGATGTATTGGAAGGCCATTTCTTTTTAGGATACGATTCATCAGCAATCTGTGCATCCACGTCCTCTGCATGACAGAATCGAATCCAGGACCTCCAATCTCATGTATGTATGCTTGAACTCTAGACCATTGAGTGTTAATGTTTCATCAGATCAATCCATGGTATTGCATGACCTCACTCGTTGTAGTTACTGCCTAGGACGATCTTTTCGTCTCTTCGGTTAAGAGGTTTAAATTTTCATGTCCAGATATCGAAGGTCCGATGATCGATTCCTGAATGCAGAGATCGTGGATTTGCATTGTTGAATAGTTCCATACAATGCCGATCACTGCTTTCATATTTCTTCCCTATGGGTAGTCTAACAATCATATCAATTTAGAATTTCAATAAAAACTGAACATTGATCATCGATCTATAATAAAAAGCTTATTGATTACCTGAAAAAATTCTCAGTCGCTGGTAAAGCAAGAGAATTTAGCATAGTGTTATCACACATCA